TAATTTTTACAAATTCTCTTTTAGCCATATTTTAAATTCGAATTTTTAATTTTCAGCTTAGATTAGCACTTCTTGGCAACGCATGTGACTCCAAGCACTGGTCCTATAGAGGGTGTTCCGGAGCAGCGGCTTTCGAAGTTTTACCTACAAAGCAATGACTGGATCATGTCTATCATCACATATCGACATCACAAATTGGCTTGCTTATCCTTGGTAATCAAACCAGTTTATAAGTCATTTACCCTGCATCTTGTAGATATTTTCAGTTATTTAATATAACCAATCTCGTTTTGACTTAAGCCATAGATTAAACATAAACTTTCTACGAGATGAGGGCCTATACTACACGGCGAATATATTCTTGGTTGTTTTAATAACTCCTATAATGTTGACATCATCATAGCCAGACTGTTAGACCATTTTGAATTCGTATAAAAAAATATCTTTTTATCTTAATTGGTAGTTTAAGGCACAGCCATTTTCAAAGCGGGTTATCATAAAATAAAGAAGATATCACATACCCCTTGAGCCTCAGTTAATAAGTATAAAATTTCATTGTATGAATTGATTTATTTATGCATGTGTTTCATGTCACTATGTAACTACCTACTGTTCTATAACAATACTGTACTGATAAATGGACTACTTATCCAAGGCACCAATGCCATACGTTTGCGTCTGATACAGCCACTATCAGTACAGTTCTATCTTGTACCATAGTATATTCTATGCTTGTACCATTGACTATTGGATACTGAAGTTGTATTAATAGTCAAATCTTTACTGTACCGGCTTTTATCCATTGCTTGCTTTGCTACGCTACACGCACGGGCCAGAGGCTGATGTGGATGGGCACATGGTTAAAAAATAAGCTACCCTCATTTAAAAAATAAATGAAAACCCCAAAGTAATGTTTTGCCGTATTCCTATCACATTAGCTGTAGAAAGCTGGGCAGCGTGGTCATAGTGCTCGCCTAGCAAAAGGGTCGCTTATTAGATCCTGATAAAAATCAGTAGCCTACCTTTGATATGGTTCGAAACTGGACCCGTATGTCCTTGATCATTGGGCGAAAAATGAATTGTGTCAAAAAAGTCCTGGCTAAGAATCAGCTGTTCATAGTCAGCAACAAAGCTAAGTAAGGCATCTCAGTTTATTCTACAACCATCCTTCATTCACATTTAGTTTACAATACTCACCCAAGTATGCGTCGATGTCTCAAGGAATTAAATTGAATTCTAAACAATGTCTCCATGGCTGTAGCACATCTCAGTCACATTTTCATCCGATTTCTTTAGTTATATTTGCATAGATAGACTCTGAACTTTATAGTTGTTATAAAGTTAATGTATGGTCATGTTACTGTCGATGGCCTGGCCTTTATGGTTCAAAGAGATAAATAGCTGTGTTTCTTTCGATGAACATAATTAAAGTGTTCCAAAATAAGAGAATATTATTGTCATCATAAGGAATTGAAACATCTAGTGGAATTGGCTGAGCGGTAAATTGAATGATAAGAAAAAAATAAACAGCTATTCTTGAACCCTCAGGGCAACTATATTGCATTTGAGTAAAGTTAAAAGTAACATTTGTACTTTGTAAAATTTCAATCCATGATAGTATTTTTTTTCATTTAAATCTATCAAATAACAATCAAAGCCTAGTAAATCATTTCATGTTTTGGTACATAATAAGAAGTTTACCTAGCTTTGATGTGCTTTCCGTTCTTTGCACGCAAATAATAAAGTCTAAATTCCAGTTTGGACTACACATGACCTTAAATAAGACAAATTATTTCAGTAAACGCTCTTCTGATTCGTTCTCTGAGTTGTTTTTCGGTGATCACTTTACTGGCATAGACACGAAGCTCTACACAAAAATGTGCCAAATGGTAATGTCTCAGGACCCAGCTGTTGGACAAGATGTTGGCCCATGGCGGCCAATCCAACGGTTTGGGAATAGCCTATCCAGACAATCTCAAACAAAGTCTGTAAGTCTCTCCAGAGCTGAGGAACACCGTTCTGTAGAAAAATTACATTTTTTTGTAATCCTTCTGGTTACGAAATTGCGAAATTCTCCGACAAATCAATGGAAACTTTTGTATTGATCCGAGGTTTCCAACACAGGTCGTTTTTACCTCGTCCAGGTCTTTCGAACTGGAATTTACATTTAATTGTTTGCGTGCAAATAACGGTAAGCACAATGAAGTTAGGTAAACTTATTATTATGTACCAAAACATAAAACGATTTCCTACCCTGATTGTTATTTCATAGCTTTAAGTGTAAAGATAATGGTTGTTTGAATTTTATGGTTGTAAAGTTATTTTATAAACACCCTTTATACAGGGTGAGTTTTAATTGTCCCCCCCCCAATTTTTTCTACATTTTTTCAAATATCAATCCCAGACCACTTCCAAACATTGTTGGGTAGTAAGTACTTCATTTTGACAAGGTGGTCATTTCCGGTCGCCATCTTGGATCCGCCATATTGGATGCAACATTTTTTTTTCAAATGTAAATATGGGGTTGTGACCCATTATTTCGAACTACATTTTTACCCTGATTACAATGCCGCAAACCTTTTTTAAAAATCTTGGTTCAATCTAAAGTTACAAGGGCTTTTTAAAACTTTATTTTTAGCCCATTTTAACATTGTGTATTTACAAACTAAGACCATAATCCCAAAATAGTGCTAGATAATGATAAGTATACACTACTAGTAATTGTCCACCTATTTTCACTTGGTTATGACTGATGTATTTTTTTCGGCCGCCATCTTGGATCCGCCATTTTGAAATGTGATAAATTATTTTAAATATGAAGGGGGTGTTGTGACCCATCATTTTGAACTAATTTTTTAAGCTAAACTCAATGCCGCAATCCATTTTTTTTTATCAAGTTTTATTTATGCAATATTGAAATTTTTTTTGTTAAAAATGTCAATATTTCAAAATCAAAAAATGAAAATGAAAAACGGATTATGGAATTAAGTTCAGCTTAAAAAAGTAGTTCGAAATGATGGGTCACAACACCCCATTCATAGTTAAAATAATTTATCACATTTCAAAATGGCGGATCCAAGATGGCGGCCGAAAAAAATACATCAGTCATAACCAAGTGAAAATAGGTGGACAATTACTGGTAGTGTATACTTATCATTATCTAGCACTATTTTGGGATTATGGTCTTAGTTTGTAAATGCACAATGTTAAAATGGGCTAAAAATAAAGTTTTAAAAAGCCATCGTAACTTTAGAATGAATCAAGATTTTTAAAAAAGGTTTGCGGCATTGTAATCAAGGTAAAAATGTAGTTCGAAATAATGGGTCACAACCCCACCTTTACATTTGAAAAAAAAATTTTGCATCCAATATGGCGGATCCAAGATGGCGGCCGGAAATGACCACCTTGTCAAAATGAAGTACTTACTACCCAACAATGTTTGGAAGTGGTCTGGGATTGATATTTGAAAAAATGTAGAAAAAAGTTGGGGGGGGGGACAATTAAAACTCACCCTGTATACATTTAAACAACTTAGTATTGTTTTATTATATCTGCCAACGGCAATGGATACCGTACTGTAGTAGACATTTCATCTTAAATACCAGATGTCCTGTATTTCTTACTGTTTACTGTCCTTTTTACTGGTTTTCTCAGTAAAAGTAGAAGATAGTTGAATGGACCTCTCACATCGTGTAGTACTGTTACAGTTCAACTTTTTTCGTGCTATTAGAATAACGAGACCTAAGAGATACTAGTCTCCTGAGAGATGCAACATCAATGAGAGGCTACATCGATGTGATATGCTACATCAATGAGAGGCTACATCAATGAGATGCAACATCAATGAGAGGCTACATCGATGTGATATGCTACATCGATGTGATATGCTACATCAATGAGAGGCTACATCAATGAGAGGCAACATCAATGAGTTATACTACATCGAGTTAGGTTCATTATTGCTATTTTACAGTGCAGCATGGTAGCCCTATTAAATTGCATAACCGAATGTAGAAAAATACTGATAAATCGGTTATTTGTCATCCGATTTCAACAAACATGGTCTCATGTGATTGGGAATTAAATATTTTATCTTTTTAATCCCGAAAATAATGTTCTTAATATTTACAGTTTTAATGAAATTTGCCATTAAAGATTTGAAATGACCGCCGTCTTGAAATGGCTAGAGATATTGGAGCGATTTTTTAAAAGCCCTTTTTACCTTCTAAACTACACATGTATACAAATATTAAACCTTCTATCTTGAAAATTCCCAAGATATGAAATGATTCTTAAGAATCACAAACAGAAATCCAGGCATTTTAGACCCAACTTAATATGGCACGTTATGTTTGTCTTAGCCCAAGGAACAATCCCACAAAATATGTCAAGACAAATCGGAAAAACTCTGTATATAGTTCGGTTTAGTCAAATTTATTAAAATATCTGCCACTTTAAATTGAATTAGGCTAAACCCTAACTGAACATTACTAACTAAACAATAGTAACGATGGTCGATTTTGTTTGATATCATAATTACACGCAATATTTATTTCTGCTTCTATGGGAATGTTAAATACAATTGTGTTTTAGTTGGTTATAATACTAACAAGTCGTATCTACTCAGAGGTACTGTATGAACAAGAGGATAATAGTTTTATACCTCAAGACTATATGTAGTATATCTAAAGGATTTTTTAGAGTTTTGATTCTTTTTTTGGCATTGTCCAAACTAATCTAAAATATCCCAACCTTATACATTATACACAGTGCCTAGGCAAAGTGTTTTGTCCTATTGTAATTACTCCATTTCATTCTTTGCCTTAAAGCTTCTGGCAATGTAAAGAATGCCTGCATTTTATACTTTACTTTTAACATATCGAATTACTACAGTTATTCTATGAATGTATTACTAATCCAGATATAATATGTCATTTAGACTGTACTGATTGTTCCAAAGAAATATTTCTGTACACAGGGTATCAACGTTGGACGAATAGTAACAGTAAAATATTTATTTACAAAACTATACATAGAAATTAGACATAACTTACTAAATTTTGCTACTAAAAGTTTGATTGTTATATTACATTAACTGAGGCGTGTTACTTCATGTTACAGCAAATTAAAGACTTGCACAAATCTTTCTATCCTGGTTCCAAAATCCTTACGGATCATTTGTTCACATAAGTAATCCATCTTACGTATTTCTAGCTTAACATATATTTTTGATCTGTTTGATAGTTTGTACTATTAAAACTGAAAAAAAATTAAAATTACAACGGGATGAAAGAAACATTTTGAGATTTAAGTTTTAAAACCAACATGACTAAGCCTCTAGGCAAATCGAAAAAACATTAGTTTTAAAATAAACTATGAATCTTTTCATATCCAACACCTCAGCACGGGAAGGCAAAATGTTACGTCAGATATCCTAAAGAGAGTTTTTGAGCAATATCGTTAACAACACAAGTTCTGTATACAACTGAACACACGAGGAGTTAATCACGGCTCTTCAATGGCGATGGCAACAGTTATGTACACTTTGTAACTCACACTTCCGGAGGTTGTATGACTCTTGATGGCGCCTTGACGACTTGTTCGTGTCTTGTCGATGCTTGGAATTGCTGTCTGTGAAACTGAGGTTCCCCGTGGCCTAGGGCGAGCACCTTGGTTACGATGTTGAGATCCTCTTGAGCGCTCGGCTTCCCTTGACCGATGCCGGTTATCGAGAGTAAGCTCTGGATCTGACTGTCAACAGTTAGTGGAGATCTGGTTACTGGAGCGAACCTGTGTTGGTTGTAGGTCTGCTGGAAGAAGTTGGAGGGTTGGACGTACTGTGATTGGATGATTTGGTTGTTCTGGATAAAGTCTGAAGGATGAATGAAAGTCGACTGAGATGGTTGGATCAAAACGGAGGATTTGATATAGTTCTGGGTTGGCTGGCTAAAAGGTGCTACGGTAGATGAAAATCCTGCTGAGCGAAAGTTCAAACTCGGTCGAGGAGTGGATAATCCGAAGTTCCCAACTGAGTTAGATGCTTCTTGACGATTTACTCTGTTCAATTCCACTGAAGGCTGAAAAGGCGTGTTGAAAGATCCGAATGACGATTGAAAGCCTGACAGAGGCAATTGGTTGAATGTTTGCGGTTGAACTTTGGTTTGAAACTGATAATCTACACTTTTCTGGAAATGTACGTTCTGTGGCTGGTTTTGGTTGATTTGATTGAAGTTAAACTGTTGTTGGTTGTAATACCTTTGCCTCTCCAATTCCTTGAGATTATCCAAACTGTTATCTTGTTGGTTCTGAAACAATATCTGTTGTTGCCTTTGCCTGGCTAAGGCTAATCTTTGCTCGTTCTCAAACTGTCTTTTCTGATTTTCCAAAAGAAGTTGTCTCTGAGCTTCTTGCTCCAGCAACCTCTGTCTTTCTTTCACGAACTCCTGAAGACGACGGTATTGCTGTTCTTGTAGTTGCTGTTCCTGTAAGAATTTTACTTGTTGCTGGAGCTGGTTTTGCTTCTCCTCATAACTAGCTTGGACATTAGAGCGTTGTTGTTGCTGCTGTTTGTTGTTTGGCAAAGGTATAGGATCTCCTGAGGCTTGATAGTTTAATGGGATAACCCTACGAGGAAGACCTTGTTGATCCTGTTGCACTGTAAATGCAGCAAGAAGTGAAGAATGTAGGAATTCAACCTCGTGTTTCTCTAGCTTAACTTTCATTGAAGAGTTTCCAGTATCCTCCGTATCTTCAACCTCAGTCCCGTTGCTAGCTTGAAAATCAATCTTGATCTTAGAGGCTTCATCTTCTTCTTCCTCTTGCAATACACTTTTCTCTGGCTGGCTTACTGTGATAGTATCAGTTTTAATGTCTTTACTTGCATCGTCACTTTCTATAAACGTAACCTTCTCTTCTCTATTTTCTTGATAACTGTTGTTTTCTGTCGGCGAAGTAAACGTTGGTCCTTGAATACTACGCGTTTCTTGGACGTTTACAGATGACTTTCCCTCCTCATTTTCGTTATCTTCAACTAACGAGTCGTGGATATGAAGAGGTTCAGGAATTTGGAAAAATATAGCATCTCCCAATGAAGGAGTTGGATTAGTTGAGGGGTATTTATCCGTCTTTTGAAAATCTAGATAACTCTTTTGTGTTGTATCCTCTTTTCCGTCCTCTGGATAGGAAGCGAACGTAAAAGGAGTTTCTCTTGGCTTATTCGTGTCTTCGGAACTGTATGAGAGAATCTCTTCGAAATTTACATCTTTCTGGTCTTCCTTGTTAGATTCATTGGATTCAAAACTCTCCAAAAGCTCTTTTTCAAGACCCTGTTCTTGAAAGTATTTAACGAAATCTGCCTCAGATATTATGTTCTGCATCACTTCAGCCATTTGTCTAGCAGAGTCATGGCGGCCATTACGTTTGTCCTCTTCTTCTAGCTTTGTCAACACCCTGAGTAGCGCTCTTCTAAGCCGAGGGTCGATGTTTACCCTTGGAACTTCATCACTCTTCAGGTTGTTTATCTGTGAGATGTCCTCTGATGTGGAAAGTGGTGTCTCTGCAGTCAAGGTCAACCTCAGACACAGTGTCGTAATTATGACCTGCAAAAATAATTACTATTAGTACAGAAACACATAAAACAGAAAGACATTTACAAAGTAAACATAAGGTTTCCCATTGGTAGTGCTGCTCCTAAATCCATCCTTAGTGACCAATACAGAACTTAATTTTGAGCGCTTCCTCTCAACCTCAATTTTGGCTATCATGAGGGAGAGATCAGTGTAATGACATAATCATTTATAAGTTATTGGTCGGGACGTTTACAACAGCACGGTGTCCGTGTACGTGGGACATATCTACTTGAACGTGACACTCGCAGCTGATTAGCTACGTGATGTCGGCGTCGTCTGCGCTTCCTTTCACGTCTGTCACTCCTCCGTTTCATGGAAGAAGGTCTGGCAGACTCAAATGAAGATCAGCATATTTTAGTCTCGGGACGAATTCTAATTCGTCTAGTATATATGTATATGTTTCGTGATACATGTATGGTAATGTCTATTCTTGTATGGTTCCCTACCTATAGCTGGGTAGCTTAGTGGATACATTGCCCACATTATGATAAGAGGGTCTCTAATTTAACCCTGAGAAAAGTCAGAAGCGTCTTTGGTGGTTTGAAACTGAACTCAGGCGTCTTTGATCATTGATATTTTCAGATATTGACCTGGCCAATGCAACAGCAAGTATCAAAACTATCATATAATTTATTCAACACTCCTTCATTCACTTCACCTTATAATACACGCCCTGAATTGTCGGTATTGTTTATTCTAAGTTTTAAAATAATATAATTTAATTCACGTTTTACTGTAACAATCTAAAGGATGGCCTTTTACAGACTACAACCAGTTCATTGCATGCAATTTGACTAATTTCTAGCTTGGGTTGAAGAGCACGTTGGGAATTTCAACATGTGTTAAGCTTTGTCATAACAAAGTTCAAAGTTCACCTTACAGTACTACTTAACACTGTATTAGTATTACAGACTCTCGTGTCGTGTTTTAGCACGCCTACTACCTCGTGTCGGCGTGGGGGTCCTCACTAGCAAACAACGGTTTCACCCGTAAGTATTGTTGGCACACTCGCGACTTCAGTTGGCTACCTCACACGAAGTATGACGCGAACATTTCACTGGAGAAATTCTTTGGCACTTTCTTTGTTTTAGCGACATAATGCACTCATGGCGCGGGCAGAGCCAGGGGGGAGGCAAACCTGGCGTGGGACTCGGGTAGAAAGGTCATCAAGATGATGTGAACCTAATGACAAAAACTCGTGAACGCTGGAGCAGATGGTTTCACTGTGTCCAAAGATGGTGAGAAGGGGCAAATTACTGTTTTAATTTTACCACCGTGCAATAACGATCGTTAAAATTCAAGACTCCGAAACAGCTTTGGTGTGATGTGAATCTACTATGTTGGGAACGCGGTGCATTTCAGTGCTTACACACCCATCACCATGGTATTTGAGTGAATTTATGAGTGTTTGGTATTTAAATTGAATATATTTATTGATAATGTAACAGCAGCATTGACAAGTCTACGAAACTTGTTGTCAAAGTGAACAACGTTTAAGAATTTCTTTTTAAACAAGTGTTCGTTTATAAAATCACTAATTCGTAGGTGATTTTTGGAAAAGACTCGTCTAAAACAGTATGTTTCCCTCAAAATTTCCATTTTATTTTAATGTTATTATATGTTTGTGTTATTGGTTTGGACATAGTTTGAATTGTTATGTTTGTGTTTTGTAATGGAACTATCCAAACCCTGGTCTCGTCACTATCTAACACCGACCTTTTGTTAAATAGCATGATTAATTGACAGCCTAATGACAAATTGTCATCTGTGTCATGAATTGACTATAAATTTTAATAAATTGTAACAGAAAACTTTAATCAGTTCTTTTAAGTAAAAAGTTTAATAACACTTTTAACTATGTTTACACTTACGCTGTGCGCATAAGACAATAAAGATGAGCAATAAAAAGTAAATGTTCATCGATTTTATCCACATATTTCATCATTCGGTCCATATTAGAATGCGATCTTTCTATTTTCAAGCGTTAAGAGATTGCCATATTCTATTCAAGTAATTATAATTGCATTTAGTTTTTATTCCCTCATTTTCTGATTGGCCCTGTTCACAACCATCTATCAGCTTTATAACAACTTTAACATAGCCTATCTTTCGTTATGTAAGTATTACCTGTATAATTTTGATAACTTAAAAGTGTTGGAAGAAGTATTTTGTTGTATTTGTGTTATACTACCGACAATATCAACACCCATCAAAACGTTATTTAAAAACAATTGAGACTCACTAAGAATATTTAGCAAGACAACAACTTGGTATCACCGGTTCCACCATCAATCCCACTTTTTTATACCACTAATAGAGCACAACATAGAGCACACACATTATCAAAATTCATACATTCGCAAGAGGATTGTCAACAAACCACTGAGGGAACTGTAGTTTACGCAACTAAGTTAATTCTTGTTTTCTTACTAGAGGGCAAACTGATCCGTATTCCAAAAAGAGGGGCCACTTCGTGACACCGGGTCGTAACCTTTGGTGAGAACAACATCCTTCGCCTTGGGTGCCACGTAACTGCTTTGATGGGATACCCGATCAGACCTAGCGGATGATAGGATGTGTGTTAGAATGTAAGGCGGGTTACACACCGGTGTCACTGACACTTCTAGTGACACTAGCATAATTTCAGTGACAGTTACTAATACAAACATGGAAGAGGCACGTGCTGGGGAAAAGAAAGAGATGGAATCAGTTTCAACAATGTCATCGTCAGAGGAGGATGCTGTGTTACTGCTGTTAGTAAGGAGAAGAAGACGACGGCGAAGAATACATGCTCGAAGAGAATTCTGGACCCAACCTTATTGGAAAGATAATGTGTTATTAAGTCAATTGACTTCAACAAGACAATTGTTCCAACTCACTGAAAAGTTCCAAAACTTTCATAGGATGAAATCTGAAACTTTTGAAAATTTGTTTGCTATGAATGTATGGACCAACGAATAATTATGTCAGAAGGGTTGAAAATGATTCGAGATTACGATTCTTTCGCGTTATTTGGGTTCAATTTAGCAACATGTGACGGCTAAAACAAACTTCAATGAATAATAAGTAAAATAATTTTAATGTGTATACTAAACAAACGACTGTAACTTAATCACTAAGGCTCTCACTCTCACATAGTAATGTTTTTTTTTTCAGGTTTATGTGACACTAGTCAAGGTATAGGGTATATATCAGTTTCAAGCTTACTTAACGTGATATCTCCTAAATTTTGTGTAAGTAATTATTTAACTCTGGACTATGTTTAGCAGCGTATCCTTCAAGCAATAAGCTGTCGCAAATATTCATTAAAACGTCTTCTGATAAGTTGTATGACAAATTGACGCGTTTAGAGAACAAGAAGATAACAAGCGGGCGAAGAGGAAGGGAAAGTACATAATTAAGTCTTGGGAGGTGCATCCAGTCATGCACTAGACATGTCTGTCTGTGTGTCCGTCGGTCGTTGCATCTGGGACAGACGTCAAGAGGCTGACAGCTATACAGCGCGCGTCAAGAATGCCTAGCAGTGGGACGGAGGGACGACTCCTTAAACTACATGATTGTATTATTACCATCAGCTTATCGACAAAAAATTTAAAAAGCGTATAAACCTAATTATGCCAATCGTTCACTGCTAATGGTTTACCGTTAAATATTGCTATTAGCAGGTATTTACAACATTTACAGATCCTGAATTATTAATTGAGGAACAGTAGAGTGTTTGAAGTTGTCAGAGAGCACAGAATAGAAAGTTGTTGATTTTTGGTCCCATTTTTATGGAGAGGAATGCCTTTGTTGTTACTAATATTCCTTATAGTTTTAGACATAGTAATTCTGTCAATTAAACTCCTTAGTGTGCACTTTCTATCTCATATATTAGTACGTTAAATGTACAGGGTATTTATAAATGATTCATCATATTTTAATCTCATATATCTCACTTATTCCTTGTACAAAGTTAATGGTTTTAACATTTGATGAAAGAGCATGTTTTTTTAATTTTTTTTATCAGCTGTTTAATACTCATTGTTGCTATTTTAGGTTTTCTCAAACCTTATTAAAAATGATTACAATTAAAGAGAAAGCCCATTCTTGTTAATTTATGACTCAAGTTCATCTTTGATACGGGTGCAGCATACGCAGGTGTTTTTTTTCTTTCTGGGGCTATAATAAGGACACATTTTATACACCACCAATGTCCCAACTCTTTAGAGCTACGTGAACGAGTTCGCATCACCATAGATTCATACAGCCTTTTGATGCTAGCCAGTATATTGGCTAATTCACAACATCAATTAGAAACTTGTTCCATGGTTTATGGACGGAATATCGAACACTTATATATCTAAGAAAGATTTAAGACATTTTATTTCTATTGGTGTAGTTTTCATCCATATTTGTTCAGTATTAAGGTCAATACAATGGTTTAAAACCTGATGAATCGTTTATAAACACCCTGTACTTTTAAACTGTTACCAAATCTCAATAGAACAGATTTTTATAGGTACTATATGTACAGATTATTTATGCAATGCAGACACAACTAGGTAAGTATTTTTTGAGCTTGGTTACTAGTTTAAGAGTCCTTGGAAATTAGACGTAAAACAATTAAACAATTAACAACTCGTAAAACAATTAAAAACTACAAAGAAAACTTATAATCTCACAGTTTACTAGATATTCCAATTACAGCCACTCTGGTGTCTGAAAAATATTGTGAGATGGTAAATAGCTCTTCAGCAGCTGTTTGGAATTATCCAAGATGGCCGCTAGCCTCCAAGGGCTCTTAAGATTAGCTGATTTTTTAATCAGGTCAATGTATTAATAGCCTAGTAAACAAGGACATCTGGGTTCAGTTTCAAATAAACATAAAGCTACTGACTTTTCTCAGAATTGAACTGGCAGCCTTTTGATTTTAAAGCAAGCACAGTATCCACTCAGCACCCAGCTATGTGTACTAGAATGATTGATTA